GTCTAGACGCGAACATTTTCGCTTAGAGGCTTTTTGAAATTTCTCGTCTGTAATAAAAAAAAATTGGGGTTTTTTTCAGATGGAAATGAGGCCCCAAGCTGTAACTTTTAAGTGTGAAAAGATCACCGCCTCATTAGAGTGAACATTTATTGGGCTAGCGGAGACCCGGCCCGATTGAGGTAACATCCGTATCCTATTTAGAAAAGTGTTCCCCAAATCTAATAAAAGTCGATACTTTCATAAATTGTCGAACGCTAATCAAACAGAAGAACAATATAGAGAATTAATTAACTGTATAGCTTGCAAGATAGAAACTTTTGATATTGTTAAAAAATTAGGATGAGTGAGGTTCAAGATGATTTAAAGAAAATGAATAGAAAAAGAGTTGTATAACTCAACGATATTCCTATTGAAGTTGGGAAGTGTCTTAGATATGTATATGCTTAGGATTGTTGACTAAATTATTTAGCAACTGCTGATGGTTTAAATCACACTGTTAAAAGAGAAAATAATAGGGACTGGGTTGATATATGGGCCGCTCGCTTTTCCGAATATCCGATTTAGATTTCGTCATTAATGACACCTGTAAAGTAGACGCTGACTCAGCCGCCAGCTCAAGCTCGGCCAAAAAGACTAAAATGCCCACTCTATCACCTAGCTAACTTGATCGTCGGAGGAACAACGGGAGAATCAGTCTCCGTCCTCTTACGAGTCGCTACACGTGCAAGGACGAACAGCTCAACTCTAAATCGGATATTCGGAAAAGCGAGCGGCCCTTATATCAACCCAGTCTCTATTACCTTCTCTTTTAACTGTGTGATTTAAACCATCAACAACAACAATATTAAAACATTAAATAGGTTTGATGAGTGGAGGATCCACACTTTGCTACTGATATACAAGAATAAAACAAATATACAAAATTGTCCAAACTATCATGGTATTAAACTCATAGGTCATACTATGAAACACGGGGAGGAGGTAATTGAGCAGAGATAGGAGATTAGAGGTTGTTGCTACTACGAAAATATAGATTATTTCTTCATATTAC